GGAATGAGTATCCTAGAATGGGGAGTATGCGAGGTATGTGTTCAAAGCTAAGGGCCCTAAAATCAGATTTACGAGTTTGGAACAGGGAGATATTTGGGGATATTTTCAGTGAAACGAAAAAATTGGAGCAAGAGGCAGTGGAAGCAGAGAAAGCTTTTGAGGAGAATCCGAATGTGGAGACAAGGGCTGTTTGTTATAAACAGCAGGCTGTATTACTCAAAAGGCTTAATCAAAGGGAGATTTTTTGGAGGCAAAAAGCTAATATCAAATGGTTGAAGGATGGTGATGCTAATACTAATTTTTTCCATTCCATGGTTAAGGCCAAGGTACGCAAACAATTCATTCGGGCTATTAAGAAGGCTAATGGAGAATGGTGCTATGATATCGAGGATATTGGAGAAGAGGCAGTGAGTTTTTATGAGAATTTGTATCAATTTGAGCCATCTGACTCATATGATAAGGTACTTCAATATATCCCGTATATTTTAGGAGAGGAGGATAATGAAATGTTAGTAAGGTTACCAAATGAACTGGAAGTACAGGAGGCTGTTTGGGGGCTTAGTGCGGACTCGGCGCCTGGGCCTGATGGATTTGGGGGAGGATTTTACAAAGGTTGTTGGGGCATTATTAAGCAAGACGTTGTTCTGGCTGTTCAGGAATTTTTCTTGGGATTTCCTATTCCAAAAGGAGTGAGCAGTGTGAATATGGTGCTGTTACCTAAGAAAAAAAATCCTGTTCATTTTGGGGATTTCCGACCGATCTGTTTGTCTACTTTTTTGAGTAAAATTAATACTCGTATCATAGCTAATAGAATGGCGTTAATCTTGCCAAAAATCATTTCTAGTGAACAGTCGGGTTTTATGAAAGGAAAGGAGATTCAATATCAAGTCTTGACTGCGTTTGAAATGCTTCATCATCTGGACAAAAAGGTTCGGGGGTCGAATTTGGCTATTAAACTGGATATGGCGAAGGCTTTTGATCGAGTGGCTTGGGGTTTCTTGGATGCTATTTTGGACAGATTTGGCTTTGGGCAAAAGATTAGGAATCTCATTATGGGGAACCTAAGGGCGACATATATATCGATCATGTTGAATGGTGTTTCTTTTGGCTTTTTTCAGCCCCATAGAGGGGTTAAACAAGGCGATCCATTGTCACCGTTGCTATTCATTATTATGTCGGAAGCCTTTTCTAGGGGGTTTAATAGCCTTATGCTTAGTGGGGATATTGAGGCTTTCAATTGGGGTAGAGTCAAACCTATTTCTCACTTAGCGTTTGCAGATGACCTTTTGATCTTTCTTAATGGGTCATCTAGATCTATAACAAACTTTAATAAGTTCTTGAAGCTTTATCAGAATGCCACAGGTCAGCTTGTAAACAAGGAAAAAAGTTGCTTTGTAGTGGGAAAGCATACTACGGCAGGGAGAATTCTTAACATGGAAAATAAGCTGGGAATGAAAGTGTCTAAGCTGCCTTTCAAATACCTTGGGGTGCAGGTGCATAAAGGAATCACTAGGATGGTGCACTGTAAGCATTTGATTGAGGCAGTGGATGTCAAACTTGCCTCATGGAGTCAGAAGCTGCTTTCTCAAGGTGGGAGACTCACCTTAATAAACCATGTGTTAAGCTCGTTACATTTACATGTGCTAGCAGTAACGGACATCCCTATGGCAGCTATCCGCATGATTAATAGCAAAATTGCTAATTTCTTCTGGGGTGTGAAGGACAATAAACCAAAGCATCATTGGGTTTCTTTTAAAAAAATGGCCAGACCCATTGAGGTGGGTGGAGTGGGTATTAGAGCCTTGACAGATGTCTCAAAAGTTTCAGCTATGAAACTTTGGTGGGAATTTCAAAATGGCAAATCGGTTTGGGCTGATTTGATGAAAAGTAAATATGGTAACAGGGTGTTAGGAGAGCTCAAACCTCTGGATTCGCCTACATGGAGGAGAATTTGCAAAATTAATGGGGAGGCTGAACTCATGGTTGATAGAGGTACTACCTCTACCAAATGGAAACACACAAGCGATGGGGCTTTTAGTTCTAAAACAGCTTACAAGGCCCTGTGGACGGGGAGGGGGAGAACATTATCTACATCGAATATCTGGCATAAAAAACAAGCTCCAAAAATTAAGGTATTCCTCTGGAGGTTGTGGAATAGAGGTTTGCCTTTTCCGGAGCAGCTTGCTAAATTCTCTGCGGCATTCCCATCTTGGTGTCCTTTCTGTAGAACAGCATCGGCTACTCAGGACCATGTGCTTCTTGATTGCTCTTTATCTCGGTCAGTCTGGACTTTCTTTGAGGGTATGTTAAAACCTGGAGGAAGAATTGTTAATCAAGTTAAACTTCAGCTCTTGAAATGGTGGAGCTCAGTTTCTGGTAATTCGATGCTTGCTAATTATATTGTTATCATTCCGGGTGTTATTACATGGTATATTTGGAAAGCTTACTAGGAATACATCTGGAAGGGCACTAATCCGGATAGGAGTCACTTGATTAATCAAATTTCAGACTTCATGATTGCATGGTGCTTTGCAAATAAAACTTTACATGGTAATACGAAGCTGGAGGAATTGGGGCTGTTGCCTGGTTATTTCAACCAACGGAAGCCTCGAGCGGTCTGTTGGGAGAAACCGGAAAAATCTAAGTTGAAGCTGAACCGGGCTCTATTCAGGCAGTATGGTAAAACGGCAGCTGGTTTTCTCTTGAGAGATAATGCCGGAGCAGCGATTGCAGCGGATGGATACCCCTTGAGTTGTTCGTCGGAGATGGAGGACGAGGAAGAACTGAAAGTATTCAGACAGGCTTTGGAGTGGGTAGCGTCTCTTTGCGTTCAGCAGGTGGAAATTGATGTTTGGACGGAGAAGCTAATGGGGCGGTATAGTTACTTGGCAGCCCAATATCCTTTTGTAACTCGCCTTGGGCTCTTCCCGAGTCAAACGAACAAGGCTGCAGTTCAGGTAGCTAAGCTGGGCTATTTTTCTACCTTCATTTGGCGACTTGGTGAACCAATGCCCAAAGAGCTTAGAGGAAATATCTATTTGGACTCGATCTCAGTTCCGCATATTATTTACTAGCTAATTGCATTTTGAGTAGGTATGCTTTCTTTGAAGAGGTATTGGTATAGCCCCCCTCTTCTTTTGTGCTCTCTTCGAATTTTAATAAAATACTGGTAAATGTCCCCCGACATTTACCCCACTGATTTAGGTGGTTGGCCTTCCGGGGTAATATATATATATATATATATATATATATATATATATATATATATATATATATATATATATATATATATATATATATATATATATATATATATATATATATGCCTTGTCAGATTTCCCAATTCCGACAGGAAGATAATGACTTTTTTGGGATTTAAATTGATTCAAGTTGGCCGGATGTATAATTTCAAAAAAAAAATCTATACCTGGTCGGATTTCCCAATTCCGACAGGAAGCTAATGATTTTTGGATTTTAATTAATTGAAGTTGGCCGGATGTATGATTTCAAAAAAAAAAAATCTATACCTTGTAGTCGGATTTCCCAATTCCGACAGGAAGGAAGCTAATGACTTTTTGGATTTTAATTAATTGAAGTTCGCCGGATGTATAATTTCAAAAAAAATATATATATACCTTGTGGTCGGATTTCCCAATTCCGACAGGAAGTCCTCCCTAAATAATACCCTACCTTCTGGTCGGAACATGAAAATCCAACTCCCGCATTTTGGTAACCTAATTCCAATTCCCGTGTTTTGGCATGTCAGACAAAAAAGTCCCGTGTTTTGGTAATTTCCTCTCTTTCTCTTCTCCTCTCTTTCCCCTCTTCAATTCGGTCGCTGACTTGCTGCTCTTTTCTCTCTTCTGTTTCAAGCTTCTGCCGTTGCTCTGCTTTAGACTTTAGCATTGTTTTTCGGTCGCTGCTATGTTTTCAATGGTGTTTTGTTTATTATCCTTTCTAATTTCCCTTTTGAAATTGAAACCCAGTTCGTGTTGGCGGTGTTGCTCTAAAAAATTGTAACTAGATTTTAGCTTTGTCGAAAAAAAATCTAGTTACAATTTTTTAGAGCAACACCGCCAACACGAACTGGGTTTCAATTTCAAAAGGGAAATTAGAAAGGATAATAAACAAAACACCATTGAAAACATAGCAGCGACCGAAAAACAATGCTAAAGTCTAAAGCAGAGCAACGGCAGAAGCTTGAAACAGAAGAGAGAAAAGAGCAGCAAGTCAGCGACCGAATTGAAGAGGGGAAAGAGAGGAGAAGAGAAAGAGAGGAAATTACCAAAACACGGGACTTTTTTGTCTGACATGCCAAAACACGGGAATTGGAATTAGGTTACCAAAATGCGGGAGTTGGATTTCCGTGTTCCGACCAGAAGGTAGGGTATTATTTAGGGAGGACTTCCTGTCGGAATTGGGAAATCCGACCACAAGGTATATATATATTTTTTTGAAATTATACATCCGGCGAACTTCAATTAATTAAAATCCAAAAAGTCATTAGCTTCCTTCCTGTCGGAATTGGGAAATCCGACTACAAGGTATAGATTTTTTTTTTTTGAAATCATACATCCGGCCAACTTCAATTAATTAAAATCCAAAAATCATTAGCTTCCTGTCGGAATTGGGAAATCCGACCAGGTATAGATTTTTTTTTTTGAAATTATACATCCGGCCAACTTGAATCAATTTAAATCCCAAAAAAGTCATTATCTTCCTGTCGGAATTGGGAAATCCGACAAGGTATATATATATATATATTTTGAAATTATCCGGCCATTAAATCAATTAAAATCCAAAAAAAATCAGAAGCTTCTTGTCTATCTCCATTCGTAATTGGCAATTGCAACTAGAGGAAAAGCCAAAAATTTGGTCCCACCTATAATATTTATATATGTGTTCCATCTTAAACCAAAACTTTTACCTAACATTGGTGTTGATTTATGCTATAAAACCCTTACCCCATCCTCAAATTTTTACTACATTAAAAAAACTTCTTGCTCTCTTAATACTCCGTATATATTATATACAAATATGTCTAGTGAGATTGTTGTTATGGTTCATTGGAATGGCTCTACATTTCAAAAAGATAATGAAATAGAGTACTCCATACCTCCTAGGGCGGTACTATTCATTAGTGAAGAAGATGATTTTACCAGTATACACGAGACTGTTCTAAATCGTGTTACAGGTGAGAGATTTTCCGAAATTGGATTAATTTACGGAAAATTGATTATATATTATATTGATTATTAATATATAATTACATAAAATCAGACAAATAAGACTATTCATAAAAATTTTATGAATTGCATAAAATTTCTAATAATTTAAGTGCGGATCTGTCCCTTCTATAATAAAAATTAAACAGATAAAAATTTCTAATAATTTAAGTGAGGATTTCGATGCTCCGTCCCACAGCACTTCAGGTCATTCAACATAACCATCTTCCACATGGGTGCAGGTATGTTGGCAATTACATCTTAATAATTGAGAATGTTTTATATCATGTTACATTTTTTAACTTCATATTGGTAATCAATAAATGTAGGTGAGAGTCAGGTAGTACTTGAAATTTTTACTTCATATAAAAGATCCCCAAGACACTGCTTACGCTTGTACCGGGATGACCTAGACCGCATGAGTGAGAGTCAGGTAGTACTTGAAATTTTTACTTCAAGCGTACTTTCAATTTTCAATACATATTGTTTTATAGTTCTTAAATTGCAAATTAAACTTTTTACAGTTTGATTTCACTCCCTACGCGTTCGAGATACTCCCACCTATCATCCTTAATGACGCTCCGCTTTGGTCGGCTGAGGTCATGCTCATATTTTGCAATATGACCAAAAGGCATTACCCCGACCGATTTCTTCGGCAGTTCCATATAAGGCAAGATACTCCGAACGATCCTTTGCCGGGTACTGATAATCACGGCAATCAAGGTGTCTCATTTGATCAACCACCGCCGTATTATGATTCTTATCAGTACTCCACACAGGCGGATGATTATGTTGAGTCATTTCTGAATTCGTCGTTTTATTATGGAGACACAACGGGGAATTGGAACACTGGCGGCGGGGACGGAGCAGGCCCGAGCATGCAACGTAAGATGTAGTATTAAATTTAATATCGTATGTACTGTCTATTGACTCTATTCATTAATAAATCACTGTCTATTCGTTGTTTTGTTCACTTCCATTAAAATTACAAAAATTGCACTTAAATCCCTCTCAAATTTGTATATCATTTTACGAATGGATTAAATCAAAATTGCACTTAAAATTACACGATTGGGGTTAAAAAAAAAATTCACAACACAAACGGATTAGAAAACAATATAAAGCAATCAAATGTTTTGATACTAAAAAAATGCATTATTTTCATTTTAAAAAATATGCAGGAATTTAAAAACACTTTTAAATTTGGAATTGATAGAATTTAAAACTTTAGTTTTAAAAACTTTTTTTTTGAACCGAGTAGGGGATTTGGCCAAAAAGTTAAATATAAAAACTTTAGTTATTTGTTTTGAATCAAAAAGTTAAGAATTCGGCCAATAAAAAAAATTAAATATAAACTCCTTGTGGGAATTGGCTAATCCGACAGGAGGGGATTTGTTATTTTTCAAAAAACCTAAGCCTAGTCGGAATTGGCTGATCCGACTCCCCCTTTTTGGTAAAACCTAGAAAAAACCCCGCATTTTGGCACTCCCATCCAACTTTTCCCGTTATTTGGTAAAACACCCAGAGAAAGAGAGGGGGAGGAGAAGATAGATCTGTATCATCTTCTCCGTTCTCGGGCGCCGTCCATTGTCCCTTAGGTCTTAGGCTCAGGTCCGCGGCCAAGCACCGCTACCGCTACCGCTTCCGCGCAGTTGCTCGCCTCATTTCATTCGCGACTTTGTCACAAAGAAGACCGAAGGGAAAGGAAATAGGGATTAAGGGTAAATATGGAACTGACGGAAATTATACTCCTATTTAGGAGTTAAAAAGTTTCAAGTCCTATTTAAGTATATATGGTTAATTTTGGTCCTATTCGGCACCATTTCTCATACAAATTAAGGGTATTACCAATCAATTGTTAATGTTCCTATAGTAAGTCCCTATTTATTCGAAATGTAAACCAATGATATGTGCACAATCTTGACCCAATACAATCTATAATGTGTTTTGATTTACATTCGTTTCTTTCACTATTTATTCCTATAAATATGGGACACATTTCTGAGTATTAATTTATGTATATATATTTTGTATATATAGTGGATATAGGATTATCTGATTAACGCAATATAGTTTGTAGATTGTTTATGGACATATTGTAGGAACTTAATATCATGTATATATCTGGTTGATATAATGTGTGATGTATATGAACAATGTTGACAATACCACGTAAATTCCGAAATGTATATAAACAATGGAAAGATATACCTGTATATTAATATAGGTCAACATTGATATACTATATCCATCTCAAACATTAAGTGATCTATCACAATTGTCATAGAACTATTCAATACTGTGTATAAGAAAGAAATAGACATCGGAGATTAGGCCACACGTATTATGTTGTGATCCATTATAAGTCTAGATTATCCTCGTTGTGACATGTGTATACATTTATCGGGATAATTCGTGTATATAAATTGTATACATATCACATTATGTCGGAGTATACGAACAATCACCTTAAATCAACTCGGTAGTACAATATCTAAACAGTTTATAATATAGACTGTATTTGAATGTAGTAAGATAATTATTCAATACGTGTCGTGTATCATAAATACGTATGGATACATATTGACAATGTATATCGATTAAATGATATGTTTATACTCAAACACATATAGTGGACTTCATATTTAAATATAGTATACACATATTGTAATTAGAACTAAACACTTTTCCTAAGTCATGATTTTCGAGTAATTTTCTATATTATTTCAAATTACATAAGCGTAACAACCCATAATTTATAATCTAGTCATAATAGATACACGTTAACTCAATGATACCCCACGGTAACATATGTTTGATAAGTGTTGACGGTGCAATGGCATACGAAGGATATAGGAACCCAATATGTATCATTGGCCAATACTCACCATTTTCGAGTATAATATCTTTCTTTCTAAATTTAAAAGATATATAGAATATATGGTTACATTTATATCAACACTGAAGCCATTTTTTACATTATTTATCAATCATCCACTTACCCAACACATTTAACCATCCGGGTTTGGATAATGTCGTAGATTTAGACATATATTATTTATAATTGTAGTAAATCACATTTTCAGTGTTGACCATAATGTTGGATACATATTTAAATGTATAATAGATATCAACCGGGATCATTCTTGTATTTATAGATGAGGTGTTTTATATCATTATCATTATACTAATTATAATGATCTTATACAAATCATACATTGACTAAAATACAATCAATATTTCCTATGTGTACGTCATTAGTAAATAGTGGTAGGACACATTGATATTATACTAATAGGCACTATCTATAACTTGCATTGTCATTATGTCCATGTTAATTCTACATCTAGTAAAGTATTATTAAATTGAGTTATCACATAGGAAATCTTGTTTATCAATAATATTTCGGGTGCATGACTTGATGTGTTTATTAATACCCATTTTCGTTGTCGTATGCACAATCTTTGAGTATAAATAGTGTACACTCATATTATCAACATAAAGGTAAATAGATATATGTGTTTACGGGTTTTGAGGATATATCCCTAAATACCGATTGAGTTACACACCTTTATGTTGATAATATGAGTGTACACTATTTATACTCAAAGATTGTGCATACGACAACGAAAATGGGTATTAAAAAACACATTTGTATAAATTGCATTATTTATGAAATGTGTACATTGTAACATATATTTGACTTATATTATTATAAGACTACATAGTTAAACACATGGTAATAGGCAAATAATGTTGTAATACAATTACTAGATTTAAACCAGTTATGCTTATATACATTTCGTACACCGATTGTATATAATTGAAGTGGATTCAAAATATATTCCTATGAACAGTATTAACCAATATCATAAAACAATATAGCTAGTATAAGGTTTAAATCTATGTTATAATAGTTACACATTTTCGAGTTGTGCATATTTCACCTAATAGAATTTACACTGTATCCAAATATATTTTACATATTCATTGAGTTCTTAATACTATACACTTGTATAGTATGATCCATTACTATACAAGTGTATATGTATATCCACTATATACACTAATGTTGTGAAATTTCTAGGGTATATAAATGATAAAGTGGATATAGAATGAGTTCCTATATCATAAATACACATTTGTCCGTGAATCCACTTATCATAAATCTATAGATTTCGAAGTTACGAAACACTGAAGATTTACACAATGCACAATGTAGGTAAAGTGGTTAGAGTTTTCGAGATTGTATAAAATGACGTATATCTAGGACATACGTCATTTAGTATCACTGATAAATACACTAACATTATTCGGGTTTACTAAACAACATAAAATGTGTATATATATAGAAACATATATGTCATGAATATAATTTTCTCACTAAGTGGATTATCTGAGATGTAATTTATGACGAATATTATTTCGTACACACAATGTATAACTAAAAATTTATATACACATTTAATTAGATGTAGAATTATGTCTAGATCTAGACATAGACAATTTGGATTTTCGGGTTTATATATTTCTCCTCCTCCATATGTATAATTGTTATGTAACGATTCCTATATCATAAGATTCTAGCTCCTATATAGGAAGACATGTCTCCGAGAATACAATTGTTGTATACATGTATAGACAATATCAGGAGTAAATACTGTTCCAATGCAACCCGAGTTGGATATATTTAGACCTATACATAATCAATGTCATAAGTATTGGGTCAATTTTTAATATCTTATATCATAAAAGTGTATACACAAATCCTAGTACACAATTTATGTACTATATACTAAATATCTAAGTGATATTTGGGTAACCCTGTATACATTTTATTATATATACTACTGTATTGGCACAACTCGAAAACATATACGAGTTGTATTTACTTGAAATTATTATAGTAAGGTTGATTATGTTAGACTTATATACATGATTATATGTGGATTATATGTACCGTGATACGTATTATAAATTTTGGGTATATTTATGTGATAACCCAATGTTGTGTAAAGATTGTCAACGTGTTTGATAGTCATTATATCTATAACACTCAATATCACCTAGGCATTATAGCTAGATATTTTCTAGCCCTTATTCGATCATGTATATACATATTTAAAAATTTATTATATGCACAACATGTCATTTTAAAATGATCATTATGATATAGGAACCCAATGCAACTCGAATTTGTAATACCTTATAGTAGAATTTAGACAATATTAAAACATAATATACTAGGTTTTACTTGTCTAAATGTGTCAACACTATTACAAATCCCATATTTGATAATAGTTTATGTATTAGAAATTGTCTATACAAAACACTATTGATGTATACATAAGTTATATAAATACATGACAAATCGATTTCTGCTTATAAAAATGTGACATGGTTATACATTAACTGTGTGTATTAGAATCGGTAAATTTGTACATAATTGTCACAATTATGTAAGTGAAAATCTAATAATAATATGTTAAAGACTGAGATTAGGTTATGTATAGAATACACCATAGTGATATATGAATAAAAACATAGGTATTTTGTGTCGAAGAACTACTATGTATAGACATATAATAAGTGTATACATGTAAATAGAATATATTCAGGACTATGAAACTTCGACACAGTACATGCATGTCGAGGAGAACTAAACTATGCATATTCAAATTATAAATTAAGAAGACATTAACTATATCGGCCATTTACTACATTATCTATATATAGTGTGTCCGATATCCACCATGAATATTGGAAATGAACATTTATTTAATAGATAAATATATGTTATAATCAAAGATTTAGAATGACATATTAAATGATATACTTTGTCATTTATGTAAAATCATTTGAATGTATGTTTACAATTTGTATAAATGAACTACGATAATAATGTAATTTCTTTATATTACGTAACTTTGCACAATGGCTCTTTACTACAATATGCATATTTAACATAGCCTTAGCATACCAAATTACATATAAGATACATTATATGTATTACGGGTTATAATACTTAGTCAGTGTAATTATGTCTTTCCATAAATTTATATATATTTAACCATTTCTATAGTTAAATATACATTAAAGTGGATAATTTCTCCGTGACTCCTATGCACTTTGTAAAAGTATAGTTTCTGAAGATATTTCTCCGATGATATATACACTCTGATATTATGATATGGATAATTTCTCCGTGACTCCTATGCCCTTATGATATATCCACATTTCCATTTTATATATGTATACCTTTATCTTGCAATATACACATGAATTATGATATATTATGTTCGTATAATTATGTATCTATATACTATGGACTTGCATTGGCCATTGGCATTGCATTAAATCGTGACTTTAGAAATACAGACATACGTTATGGACTTTCGAGCTTATATTCAGTCGAAATTTATATAGGAATCATAATTAGACATATCTAAATCCTTCACTCAACATTAACCGGATATCTTTCTATTTGCATAATAATGTCGTATTCAACTCTAATTATATGTAATATAATTAGTCCTAACGATATTTTATGATGTCTATAAAATATTGAGTATATGTATAGGAAATGGACTATCATTGACTCGTTACTAGAAATGTTTTCATTTCTAGTACTTTATCTTTAAATGAAATACATATAGACAAAAATTAGTTACAATGCCAATCACTGTATTTCTATATCAAAGTGGATTGGGTTTACTACATTATAATATACAGTTGGCCGAAGTATACTATCGTAATATTAAGAGATAATTCCCTAACTATATAGGAGTAAAACAATATGAAAATGCTAAAGTAGGAGTTGAAAGTTCCCTATAGTTACATAGGAGTTAAAATTTATGAGTTGATATAAGTACCCTTAATGAAGTACCTTAATATAAATTACGTAGTAAAATATTCCGTAATACAATAGTATTTCATGCATGCAATAGGCACTCTGTTCTTCTTGCGCACTCCACTCCAGCGAGAATTGTCTTTTCCCTTCCACGTTCTCATAATTCCACAATTAGCTTAGTCATCTGATTTGATTCTCGATCTATTTCATATTTTCATATCCTTCGAAGTCCTTTCAAGTTAACATGGGACTGTATCATCAAAATTTGCATGTCTGTATGTATTTGCATATTACTCCGTAGTAATTATCACTACTAATGATAGTACTCTTAGTTACGTTATTGCAATATGAATGTTGTCTACCTAAATAACATTCATATATACTTCGTATACTTTTTTGCTGTTTGATTATTTCTCATCGTTAATGTAATTTTTAGAAAAATGTTTAATCCGGAGTCAACTCTCAACAAAGACCATGAAAACATTCAAACTCAGATCAGCTCTCAACAAAGACCATGAAAACATTCCATTAATATAATTTTTGCTGTTAAATTACTTCTTAATCACCGCCACCGTTGCGGCCACCACAGTCCTTAGTCTCCGTCACGGCCACCGCCAGGGGCGGACCCAGGAAATTGATATTGGGGGGGCGATAATTTAAACAAAAAAAATCTAGACGATTATTATTATAAGTTATAACCTTAATATAATACGGAGTAGTAATTAAATGAAACATTATAATAGAAGAAGAGACAAATATATTATTACAAAATAGTCAAAGTTAGTGCCTTAGAATTGTACCCAACGCTTCTTCAACGAGATAAATTCCTCAATCACGGCTTTTTAGTCAAAAGTTTTAGCAATTTCTCTTTTAATATAAACAATAAGGTTGTCTGCAACATACTCATCCTCCATTTTATTGCGAAGCCTTGTTTTTATAATTTTCATTGCGAAAAAAGTCCTTTCGGTTGTTGTTGTCGAAACCGGTAGAGTCAACAAAAGTCGGATCAATTTATCAACAAGCTAAGAAAGTACACTTTTGACATCTCCGTCTCCGCTAATCTTTGACAAAGTTCACCCATTGTAGAAAAATTCGCCAACTTTGGATGGTTTAGAACATTGAACTTATAATGTTGCAATTGAAACCTCAAGCTCACCTTCTCCTGCTCAATAAAATCAAAGGGGTAATATTTATCCACTAAAGAACAGATATCATCAATGTTAAAAGACTTATATGAGTCCTTAGGATCCAAAGCACCACTAAGAGTAAGAAGATCCATTATCTGTTCACCGAATCTGCTATTCAGCTCCAACAATTATGAATCTATGGCTGCGTAAAACATATCAACCCGATGGTGACGTTCAATATCAAACCCTTCTTGATCATGGCGTTTGCATTTTACCGCATAAGGAGACTTCATATTAGGATCTTCAATTTCATGCTTTGTGCAAAACTCTTTAACAATTTCTAAGAAGTTATCCCATCCACCCTCCCTTAACTTTTGGATCAACATTTTGGTGCTTGACACCAAATGCATAGCATTTACTATGTCTTGGCACTTCTTCTGTATATGCTGACATAGAAGATCTGTAATGCCCATAATTTCTTTAATAAGATGCAACAAGAAAACAAAATCAAAAGATTTAATCTTCTTAAGTTCTCTAGCTGCATTTCCACGAGTAGAATAGTTATTGCCATTCTCTTCAACATCTTCTAAAACAGAACAAGTTGCAGCAAACATCCTAATCAAACTGCAAACAGAACTGAAATGTGAGCTCCAACGAGTTTCCCCAGCTTGTTTCAAGCTCACCAATTTCCACATTCTTGCAATTTCAAGTGCTTGAGCTTCCTTTAATTCATCACTTCGTTTGCAAGAAGAATTAGTCACATTAATAATAAAGAATGAATCGATGAAAAAATTGTGCACATATTTCACCTCTCTAGAAGCAGCAACCAATGCTAATTGCAACTGATGTGCTAAGCAATAAACATAGTAGGCATAAGGACAATCATTTAAAAACAATCGATCTTTCCGTTTCTTTCTTCTAGGTGCGCATGTTTTTCATTAGTTTGGTCTGGGCGGTGGGCTGGGATTAGATTTTGGGGTGGGTTAATGGGGAATAAATTTTGGAGTGAGTTGATATAATATTACTTGTAAAATTTCTATTTTTTAGGCTCTTAAACAATTGGGTTTCTGCGAGTGGGCTATGCTTTGGGGAGAAAATATTTTTGGGGGGGTTCAAAATTTTTCTTGGAGGGGCGAGAATTAAATGTTGGGGGGTAAAAATAAAAATTTTGTATATATATATATACTAAAAAAAAATTGTTGGGGGGGCGGCAGCCCCCCTGGGTCTGTACTACGGTCCGCCCCTGGCCACCGCAGCCATCATTGTCGCCGCCATCTATATATATCGCCGACACAACTCTACCATCGTCACCGCCACCTCATCCGGGGCTTTGCTGCCGAATCCTATGCCACTGCCACCTCATCTCCCGCCACCCATCACCTTTGGCTTTTCCGGCACCACTTTTGGCACCACGATCATTGATCTCAAACCTTGAAAGAGTGCCCTAAAATATGGATCTTATTATCATCTTCACAATTTCATGGCATTAAAAACATTTCAACGGATATTACCATCATGGTGAACTTTAACGCCATATAGATGACATTATTGTATCAAATTAACACTTTATATGGACACACCATGAAATTATAAGTATTGCAATGATGAACTTTAGTGTCATATAAATGTCATTATTGTGTCAAATTAACACTTTATATGGACACACCATGAAATTATCAGTATTGCCGTGATGAACTTTAGTGCCAAATGGATGTCATTATTGTGTCAAATTAACACTTTATGTGGACACATCATGGAATTATCAATATTGACGTGATATACTTTAGTGCCAAATAAATGTCATTATAGTGTCAAATTAACACTTTATATGGACACACCATGGAATTATATCAGTATTGCGGTGATGAACTTTAGTGTCATATAAATGTCATTATTGTGTCAAATTAACACTTTATATGGACACATCATGAAATTATTAGTATTGCTGTGATGAACTTTAGTGCCTGATGGATGTCATTGTTGTGCCAAATTAACACTTTATATGGACACACTGTGGAATTATCGGTATTGACATGATATACTTTAGTGTCAAATAGAAGTCATTATTGTGTCAAATTAACACTTTATATGGACACACCATGACATTATCAGTATTGACGTGATGATCTTTAGTGCCATATACTATTCTCCGTTTTTTTAATCGCAGCATTTTGACTTTTTTGCACTATTCACATTATCTACTTTGACTACATTTTACTTTATTATTTTATGGAAATTATTTCTTTAAAAAAAATCAATTCATCTCATTACAAACTTTCAAAATCTGTTTTTTTATAATTTTTTATTAATAGAGATTAAGATATACTTACAGTTAAATGTGTGCGTTGGCAAATGTGCAAAGATTGACTGTTGCAACTAAAAAAGAACGGAGAAAGTATATGTCATTATTGTATCAAATTAACACTTTATATGGATGTAAATTAACACTTTGTGTCAAATTATCATTATTGACATAATCCTGCTGGATTCTATATATATATATAAATATATATGCCATAAAAGTGGTACTATATGCTCAAATAACAAATTCATATGGAATTAGTGAAATTTTACTACTGTATCTTCAAATAAGTAACATCTCTTTCTTAATACAAAAAATATATCCTATATTTTAATCGATAATTGAATTAAAAATAGTGAAATTGGCAATCCAAATTGAATTAAAAATCTAATCTGAAATTTTTGAAACATGTTGATTGAAATCAATTGGTGGGGAAAGAGAACGAATGAGTGTGGAACATGTAGGGTAAAGAACAAATCAAAATTGTATGGAAAGGATGAAGGGTAGAGAACAAATTGGTGAGGAAGAATCCAAGGAGAGAAGAAGATGAATAAGAAAGGGGAAGAAAAAGTCAGAGAAGTAAAAAAAAGAGGAGCAGAGGTTGGAACTTACCTGCGGCTGCGATACTTTTGCAAATATCAAGCGTCACTTGCAGATGAGGTGATAGTCTTGGTCGTATAGCATAGACGGCAAATTAGGGGAATTGGAAGAGAGAGAAGAGAATAGCAGATGGATGGTGCGATGAAGGGCATATCGGGAAGAGGAAATGGCGACTCGTTTTTTTGGGAATAAATAAATTAAAGTGTACTCCTATTTTAGAATTTTACTAATACTTTAGTCTTATTTGGTTCAATTACTTTAATATTAAATGAAGTGATGTATAGGGCCAATGTAATCAATTTTGTTTATATAACCGTTATGTGAATTATCTAAATTATGGTATGTAGGTACTATAATTAACATATATAGTAACATATTTCTACTCATCTTATATAAATGTATGAAATATAATATACCGAGAATACACATTATATCAACGACAAGGGTGTTCTATATGTGATATTTATACAAGGTATTTTCTCCTTTGTCTAAATAAGGACTATTGAATAATATAGTTTGCATACACCCAATCTAGTAAAGTGTATACAATTTGCATACAATAGGAACCCAATATCATGTATATAGTCCAAATGTATAAGTATAAGTCCAACTTGATAAGATACCGGTTGTCGTTGCATATAATCTAGACATGTATCGGATTTACTAAATACATGTATCTTTCTTTCTATGCATAATTTATGATATAGGAAGATGATATCATAAAGATGTATTAGGAGAAATTTGCATTGTGCATAAATTATTTTCTCCAATGGTTGTATGCAAACTATTAGTGTTTACAATCTCTATCATAAATAACTTGAGATTGTGCCTTGTGTGGATGGGTTCAGTATATATTATAGATGCATTTCAAAATCCAAGATTGAAATGAAGGATTTTTAGGTGCACAATAGATTGTTTAAATATGGTTTATATTCTTTTAATGAAATAATTACATAAATATGATCAAAATAAAGATGATTTACAAAAATATGATTAGTTACTAGAGTAGTAATGAAATCATAGTAATTCATGTTCAAGTTTTGAACTTAAATTACTACAACACTACGTTGTAGTAATGAATAGTCATATTTATGTAAATAAGTTTTATTTTAGTAATATTCTTATAAAAACCCCAATACAATAATTATCTTATTGATAATATGATAATTATTTAGTTGTGTTATATAACTCAACCGAGTCACGGAGATTGCATTGGTGAATTATAAATAAATTAATTACACATTATCTAAGTAATGTCGGGTTTATCATGTATGAAATAGAGTCTGGTTCACTTAAGGTTTTAATAATATGTTAATTTCTGTCAGTTTACTATAATAGTCCACTGATTTAGTAATCATTCCACACTCGGTATACTTGATTATCACTATCAAGTAGTGTAATATACACAAAGATGTATATTTCACCAATGTATTGTTCTTTACAATACACATAACATATAATTTTAAACATTTCGGAAAGACATTTTCTAAACCGAAATGAAAGATTAATATTTGTACTGAACTCAATATAAAACCAATGTCCGAAAAGTGATGTGTATAGAAAATCAACAAGTATTTTGAGAGAAATACTAGAAAACACTAATTATGAACAGTGTATATACCAATAATGTATCCAATTTCGTTTAACATAATTATGTGATTTGGTTTTCAAAATCAAATCATGTATTGAAACATTGAGAAATCCACTGTATAGCAATCTAGGCCAAATATAATTTACACGTCTTTATGATTGGACAATATGTACCAAATATCATATATCAACCCAAACTATATTGGAAAAGTGGATTTCAATATATGTAAGTTAAATACATGATATAACTCCTATGCTATTTAAATTGTCTATAGGATGAAAGATAACCATTAAATAAGTATGATTGTAAATCTCCATGAGTGACTATATCACTGAAGTCGGATTAGTATACATCTTTCACCCTTTAGTATACATGTGTTACATCAACAATGTGTATATCATTCTATTAGAATTTATTTGTCGTAATCTATACATTTCTGACGGTATAGATAAATTTCGACTAGTTTATCTAGATACATTCTCAAATTAAGGGTTGGTTTGCAACCACTTTTAAAAAAGCACTTCTCAGCTTTTGGCTTTAAAAAAACACTTATTTTCCCAAACACTACAACTTTTATTTTTCTCGGCTTCCGCGTCAAAAGTGCTTTTACCTTTTCTATTACACAAAAAGCACTTATTTTACCAAACACTACCCACTTTTACTTTTCAAAATCACTTTTTTCTCAAACACAATCAACTTTTATTTAATCACTTCTCCCCATTTCATTAAAAAAAGCACTTTTTTAAAAGCAGAAGCTGTTGCAAACAGACCCTAAATCTCCATCTAATTTGGACAACTAGTAACAGATATTAATAACATAATATCACTCACAATTTAGAGTGATATTATGTATTGAGAATGTATCTTATGTATACATGTGATTTTACATGTATTGTAAAATCTATAATACATTTGGACATAGATTTGCCATAATTATTGTGTCATATCAACCGGATTGGGTATTAAATACAAATGTGTCCATTATGTACATAATGTGTAATATAGATTATGAGTATCATTATATCCACTAATCTGAATACAATGTTTAGAGTTCCTATGACATTTAGCATAGGGTACATTTGAGTTCACTAATATATCAGTGTGTATTATAAGGATTTTCGATTGCAATCATTTTCGTGTTGATGTGCAATCTTTTATGATAGTCTAATTGATAAAATGTTACTCGGTTAAAAGTGTATTATACTTCAGATATTGTGTGGATTATTTGCACATCAACTCGATGATACTTTTAAGAAAGTATAGGTGATTTTTATGATGTGCATAGAAAGATACGTCCTACTCGGACGTATATGTGCGAGTAATTGTCAAAACTATTACTCACATGTGACTCCGATGATGATCCTATAGAAGACATATAAAATCCACTACGCATTTCCTATATCATAAATCACTGCCCAATTTTCGGACATGCCGATATTGACTCAAGTCCAACCAAATCATAGTAAACCCGAAGTGTCACAAAAATTACAATTGTCCTAAATATACATAACTTGGGTTAGGAGTTATGAACCCAATCTCTTGAGACAATATTAGTTCCACTTTTCTATTGGATAATAAAAATATACATGTGTATATGATATACTCAATAAAAGCACAACTATATATCATTTCTAATAGTAATATCTACATGTGTATTATGTTACGTGATGTATACAAGTCAAGGACTATATTTATTCGGATATGTACATGTTCACTTTATAGTATTCCAATAGATACTAAAATAAGTATATTGGTTCCGTATGTATACATCTTCATAATAATACATACCGTAGTATTATGAACCCGAAAACATGTATTATATTGATTGTGCATGTAAACCCATATGGGATACCACTTTACATGTAACCAAATAAGGATTACCGATAGTTTGACGAAATATGTGGATTCTAGAACCATTATAGAATTCATATAGGAACATTATATCCAATATGTAGGACAATCTTTTATAACCTATGTTAAAAGTTATGAAGTGGAAAATGATTTTCATAACTTTGGGTTAATTTCAATGTTAACGATTCTAATTATACAATGTTGTATAATGTCGGCCAACGCACAAATACTTATAATCTCAATGTATATGATAGATTAATTAATTCTAGAGAGAAGTGAGAGCTAGAGAGATAAAGTGATATATATAATGAATTCCAATCAATTATCTCCTCCTTTACATGGCTCCCATAGGGAGTATTTATAGGAGAAAAGAGGGCTGGGCTTCCAGGCTTGGGCCTGGCTGGCCCAGTTACAATAAAAGGCTAATAAAGGGCTAATAAATGATATCTAATCTATTCTAATGGATACATCTGAATAAATAAAGTGTACAATGAGATAAATGCTATCTACTGAGCGTATGTGGGCCGCTGTCCGGGCCCAATAGTCGTGAGACCCGGGGGTCCAAGTCTATATACTCTATCAGGAGTCCCCCACTCTCTGAGTCGAGAGTACTCGAGGCGAAAGAGAGTAGAACTATGTGCTGATCTGTCGTCGTCTGGTGAGTAAACCGCTGTCGTCACCGAAGCGCCCCGCCCGGATTCCCAAGCCGATGATCCGATCCCACTGGTGAGCCCTGGCTGAGGCAACCCTGTGGGAAAATCCTCAGCCGAAGGTCGCAGGCTAGAGACCATCACCACCGGTCCTGAGGCAGGGGAGCTATGTATATGTACTGGCCGATGTGGCAGCTGAATATGTATGTGAGATGATGATGTCGTCGGTGCGTGTGGCAATCCTTGCAAAAAATTTGAATTTCTGCTTCTTTGGTAGCGAAGGCACTAAGTCCCCCGCTCTCCCAGTCCCCCACTCCTTGAGGCGAGTGTAACGAGGTGAAGAGGAGTAGAGTGATGCATGTCTGATGATGTCTGCAACAGGGGGCCGAGGGTTGACACCTTTTGATCCACAATGGGGAGATGCCTCGTTAAAAACCTCATTAGGAAAAACCCTGTGGGAAAAAATCCTAATGAGGGAAAAAGAGTACATCGGATGACCCCAGAACGAAACAAAAGGTGCGAGCCCTTCGGCATAGAGGTGGAGCTGCAGCGAGGGGATGGCAGAGGCCGATCCATAGATGTGGGTAGCTCGTCATGATCAGTAGTCCTAGTCATCAAATAAAGATGACTAAGGGATGGGTCGAGCGACCGTCCATAATATGATGTCTGGTTCATCAAATAAAGATGACCAGAATATGAGGCCGATGGGCCGATGTGAGCTCCACGTCATCAAATAAAGATGACTGGGAGTAGTGGCCGAGAGGCATATATGAGAGCTCCACGTCGTCAAATAAAGACGAAGGGGCAATGTGTGGCCGAGGGGCCTGGATAAGAGCTCCACATCATCAAATAAAGACGACGGGGCGATGTATGGCCGAGGGGCCTGCATAAGAGCTCCACGTCGTCAAATAAAGACGACGGGGCGAGATATGGCTCAGGGGCCTATAGACGAGTTCCTCGTCATCAAATAAAGATGACAGAACGATATGTGGCCGATGGGCCGGTAGATGAGCTCTTCGTCATCAAACAAAGATGACAGAATAATATATGGCCGATGGGCCTGTAGATGAGCTCTTCGTCATTAAACAAAGATGACAGAATAATATATGGCCGATGGGCCTGTAGATGAGCTCTTCGCCATCAAATAAAGATGACAGAATAATATATGGCCGATGGGCCTGTAGATGAGCTCCTCGTCATCAAATAAAGATGACAGAGCGGTATATGGCCGATGGGCCTGTAGATGAGCTCTTCGTCATCAAATAAAGATGACAGAGCGGTATATGGCCGAGGGGCCTATAGATGAGCTTCTCGTTATCAAATAAAGATGACGGAGCAAGATATATGGCCGATGGGCCTGTATGAGAGCCCTTCGTCATCAAATAAAGATGCTAGAGCAAGATGTGGCCGAGGGGCCTATAGATGAGATCTGAGATCCTTTAGTCTCTGAGCCGGAGACCGCAAGATGTTTGCTAGATCCGAACATGAGGACGAGGCGTTGGACGCCTGTCTGAATATGAGGATGAGGCGCTGGGCGCCTGTCTGAATATGAGGACGAGGCGTTGGACGCCTGTCTGAATGTGGGGACAAGGCGTTGGACGCCTGTCTGAATATATGCGGACGAGGCGTTGGACGCCTGTCTGAACATGAGGATGGGGCGTGGGACGCCTGTCTGATGATACGATGACGAGGCAATGCTGAGCCGATCATCATATATAGGCAACGCTCGCCATCCAGGAGGGGATGGCGAGCCCGATCGCTTACCCAAGACATTCGGCAATGAGAGGCCGGTCTCGGAGATAGGACATCACATCGTGGCCTGGGGGCCGATCGTGATGTGAGGACGGCCGTGATAAGGAGCCGATCCAAAATAACAATGACGAGGCGATGATAAGCCGGTCGCCATGTAGGGGCGATAGTCACCATCCAGGAAGGGATGGCGAGCCTGATCGCTAGCTCAACACACTCGGCGCTGATGAAGCCGGTGTTGAGATAGATCATCACGCCGAGGCCGGGGCGGCGGTCGTGATATAAGGATGGCGATAATGGGTAGCCGATCCGAATAATGATGACGAGGCAGAGATGAGCCGGTCGTCATGTAGAGGCGACGGTCACCATCCAGGAAGGGATGGGGAGCCCGATCGCTAGCTCAACACACTTGGCGCTGATAAAGCCGGTGTTGAGATAGGGCATCACGTCGAGGCCGGGGGGGCCGATCGTGATGCGAGGTCGTCAGCACTATGATGCTGAGCCAAACGTCCAAGCAACGGTCGCCATCCGATGAAGGAATGACTGAGACCGGTCTTGGGGAATATGATCACGTCGAGGCCGAGGGCCTGCCATGATCGGCACTGAGGGGCCGACCCAAAAATCCATGCAATGGTCGCCACCCAGTAAAGGAATGGCTAAGACCAGTCTTGATATAAGGTACCGCGCCTTGGCCGAGAGGCCGGCCGCGATGCGAGGATGACGACTATGATAAGCCGGTCCAATGTATGATGACGAGGCAATGATAGGCCAATCGCCATGTAGAGGCGACGGTTGCTATCCCGGAAGGGAATAGCAAGCCCAATCGTTAGATCAAGACACTCGGCGCTGAGGGAGCCGGTCTTGAGATAAAGCATTACGTCGTGGCCGAAGGGCCCGATCGTGATGTGAGGATGAAGATGATGAGGAGCATGTCCGAGATATGATGACGAGGCAATGATAAGGCCGATCGTCATGTAGAGGCAACGGTCACCATCCAGGAAGGGACGGCGAGCCCGATTGCCAACTCAAGACGCTTGGCGATGAGAAGCCGGTCTTGAGAAGGAATAATCACACCAAGGCTGGGAGGCCGGTCGTGATGTGCGGATGGCGATGATGATGAGCCGATCCGAATAATGATGATGACGAGGCGGAGATGAGCCGATCGTCATGTAGAGGCGACGGTTGCTATCCCGGAAGGGAATAGCAAGCCCAGTCGCTAGCTCAAGACACTTGGCGCTAAGGGAGCCGGTCTTGAGCTAGATCATCACGTCGAGGCCGGGGGGGCCGATCGTGATGTGCGGATGGCGATGATGATGAGCCGATCCGAAGATCCAAGCAACGGTCGCCATCCGGGAAGGGATGACTAAGACCGGTCTTGAGATAAGGTATCACGCCTTAGCCGAGAGGCTGGACGCGATGTAAGGACGACGGCGATAATGAGCCGGTCCAACATATGATGACGAGGCGATGTGAAGGCCGATCGTCATATAGAGGCAACGGTCGCCATCCAGGAAGGGACGGCGAGCCCGATTGCCAACTCAAGACACTTGGCAATGAGAAGCCGGTCTTGAGGAGAAATAATCACGCCAAGGCTGGGAGGCCGGTCGTGATGTGCGGATGGCGATGAGGAGCCGATCCGGATAATGATGACGAGGCGATGATGAAGCCGATCGTCATATAGAGGCAACGGTCACCATCCAGGAAGGGACGGCGAGCCCGATTGCCAACTCAAGACACTTGGCAATGAGAAGCCGGTCTTGAGGAGAAATAATCACGCCAAGGCTGGGAGGCCGGTCGTGATGTGCGGATGGCGATGAGGAGCCGATCCGGATAATGATGACGAGGCGATGATGAAGCCGATCGTCATGTAGAAGCGACAGTCGCTATCTAGGAGGGGAATGGCGAGCCCGGTCGCTAGCTCAAGACACTTGGCGCTGGGGAGGCCGGTCTTGAGATAAAGCATCATGCCGAGGCCGGGGGGCCCGGTGGTGATGAGCGGATGGCGATGATGATGAGCCGATCCGGATAATGATGACGAGGCGATGATGAAGCCGATCGTCATATAGAGGCGACGGTTGCTATCCCGGAAGGGAATAGCTAGCTCGGTCGCTAGCTCAAGACACTTGGCACTGGGGAGGCCGGTCTTGAGATAAAGCATCACGCCGAGGCCGGGGGGGTCGGTGGTGATGAGCGGATGGCGATGATGATGAGCCGATCCGGATAATGATGACGAGGCGATGATGAAGCCGATCGTCATATAGAGGCGACGGTTGCTATCCCGGAAGGGAATAGCTAGCTCGGTCGCTAGCTCAAGACACTTGGCACTGGGGAGGCCGGTCTTGAGATAAAGCATCACGCCGAGGCCGGGGGGCCGGTGGTGATGAGCGGATGGCGATGATGATGAGCCGATCCGGATAATGATGACGAGGCGATGATGAAGCCGATCGTCATATAAAAGTATGACGGCGTTGGGGAGGCCGTTCATGAGATGATGGAGCAAGAGCTTCGGCATTGGGAGCCGGTCTTGAGATGAATAATAAGTTTGGGGAATTTATTTATTTTTATTGCTCGAGGCCGGCAAGTGCGCGGTCCGTCGGCTTCCCTCTTTTTTTTTTTTTTTTTTTTTTTTTTTGGATGGCCGAAGGGTTACTGTCCCTTCGTCCATGTGCGGTATTTTGTCCGCTACGCTTTTCGCGTGTGTTAGTGCGAGGGAGTAAATACGCCCTCGGCTTGGTGTGTCAGTGGCATCCTTTTTTGCCTTTCCACGTCTATCGGCGACGAGGGACCGGACTAGGCATCGTCTTTTGACGGCCGCCCTTTGTGGTCCTGAGCGAAATTTTACTGACGGGTGGAGTTTTTGTAACCTCAGCCTTAATTCAGGCCTGTCGTCCTGCGGTTTCCGCGCGGACGACGCGGTATGCTTCTCCATTTGAAGACGTTGGACCATGCACACAGGTCCTTCGTCCTGCATATCGCCGGCCGATTTGGGTGTTTCACCGCTTGTGCCGATACGATATTTAGGTGCGTTGTTTATTGCAACGGCTTTGTAGGCGCGTTGTGGATCGCAACGGCCTTAGGTGCGTTGTGTATTGCAACGGCTTTGGGTGCGTCGTTTATTGCGACGGCTTTAGGCGCGTTGTTTATTGCAACGGCTCTGAGTGCGTTGTTTATTGCAACGGCTTTGGGTGCGTCGTTTATTGCGACGGCTTTGGGTGCGTTGTTTATTGCAACGGCTTTGGGTGCGTCGTTTATTGCGACGGCTTTAGGTGCGTTGTTTATTGCAACGGCTTTTGGATGACGCAATTAGCGTGTAGGGGAATGAGGTGTACCGCTTCTAGGCATAATGTCGTGTGCGGCCGTTGATGGCTCTCATTCTAGATGCCCGGGTCATCAAATAAAGATGACCATGGTAGGTCAATGGACCCAAATATGATCCGAATCATCAAATAAAGATGTTCGGAAGGTTAAGGCTTTGGCCCGCACCAATTGGGGATTTCAATCCGCTAGCAATGGTGGTGAAGATAATAATAATAGTAGCAATTATTATTATTGTTTTCTTTTTTTCTTTGGAATAGTAGTAAAACTATTTTTTCCGGAATAGTAGTAAAACTATATATATATATTTTTTTTTTGAGTAGTGATAAAACTATTTTTGCTCCATATTTAATGCATAAAATAGGAGGAAAATTTTGTGGCACTTACTTGTATTTGGGCCGAAGCCTGCCCTGCTTAGAATTCAAGCAGGGGAATATAAGATTGGGCCTGCACTTTAAGAATCCAGCCGTGGAGATTAATAGCTAGTCCATACACTAATAGCCCATTACTTCAATTGAGCTGTTAGCGAGCCTCAGATCATGTTCAATCGCGGCCTTGCTGTGGTGAGGCCGAGGGAAGGAGCGCCTTCGCGAGACGATCCTGGATCGATGATGACTACGGACGAGTCGAGCTTCAGCCTTCCACCTTTGGCACCGACGGTGACCGGGGACGGTGGCCGCCCTTCCGATTAGCGAGGTTCCTATTGCGGCCGAGGGGTCCGCGATTGGGCGCCGGAGAGCGGCCAGAGATGACGGTGGAGGAGGTTCCTGCCCTGGCCGACTCGATTCCAATCCCCTGGCAGGTGGTTGCTTGGCCGATGCGACCATGTTTCGGCCGTCGTGAGGCTTCCGTGATTTATAATGATTTTTTCTTTTTCCTTTTTTGGCCGATGCGTCTGCTCTGTTGGCCGATGGTGTCGGACTGACCGCTACAGTTGCTGGACGATGGGTTCCGGCCGATGGGTGCCGGTAGGTGGGCGCCAGCCGATGGCGTGCCCGCTTGGCCGATGTGCAGTCTTCCTCTTTGTTTGGCCGAAGGGAAACTATGGCTGTCAGTATTGCGGCCGAAGCTTCGCCTCACATTCATTAGTTGAGGAATCAACCTTTGCTTTCTTTGGGCCGAAGCGTGACATCATGTTGACTTTAGATCTTGTTTTGATTCTGACTGACGTGTCAATTCTTGAGGTTTCCTGGTGCATCATGTGCTATTGGAGTCTCAATGAGGCCGAGGGTGACATTTCGGCCGAGGAGTGCTGCTACCACCAATTAGGCCGAAGTGTCTCCGCCGTGTGCAACTGTCTATAGCCGGTGGGACTGCCGGCCGACGGTGTGATCTAGCCGATGCCACTGCCCGATGCACGCTGGCCGTTGTATGCCGGCCGTTGTATGTCGGCCGATGCGGTGCCTCCCTCAATTCTTTGGCCGATGAGGTTGCCGGCCGATGAGGTTGCTGGCAAATGGCGTTGTTGGCCGACATGTCATCGATGGCCGTTGTATCGCGGCCGATGTGTTGCCTGCCGATGTGTCGCCGGCAGAGGTGTTGACGGCCGATGATGCAATGCGGCCGATGGTGATGTTGTTTGTTCATAACTGGGACATGGTGATATTTGGCCAGTTAGTCAGGATGAAGCTTGTTATTTTTGTTGTTGTGGAGTTCTGGCCGAGGCGGGCGTTTCGAAGGAGGTTTCTCTGGCCGAAGGGAAGCCACCTGGCACTTGCTGCTCGGTGAAGAGGGTCCCATTTGGCCGAAGAGAACACTTACTCCGTATTTGAACTTGGCCCATCATTTTGGCCGAGGGAGGAACACTACGAAGGACTGCTGGACGAGGGTCCCACAAGCTTCTTGCCTTCATATAGAATTCCCTTTGTTTTAGTTTTTTGCTGGCAGAGTTCATCCTTCAAGCCGAGGAGTACACATGACACGTAAGGCTAGGTGGCATGTTGCTTCCAATGGGGCCGAAGTGCTACCACCTCCTTTATCTACGTGATGTGCGTTATTAGTTGGGAGGATCTCACTTGATTTGTTCTAGCTCTCAATGAAAGCACCAAATGATAGATTAATTAATTCCAGAGAGAAGTGAGAGCTAGAGAGATAAAGTGATATATATAATGAATTCCAATCAATTATCTCCTCCTTTACATGGCTCCCATAGGGAGTATTTATAGGAGAAAAGAGGGCTGGGCTTCCAGGCTTGGGCCTGGCTGGCCCAGTTACAATAAAAGGCTAATAAAGGGCTAATAAATGATATCTAATCTATTCTAATGGATACATCTGAATAAATAAAGTGTACAATGAGATAAATGCTATCTACTGAGCGTATGTGGGCCGCTGTCCGGGCCCAATAGTCGTGAGACCCGGGGGTCCAAGTCTATATACTCTATCAGTATATAACATTATAATGTCGGTATATAATATAACAATATCATTTTTTGTACAGATATATCAGTGTACAACTCGACATGTATCTTTCTTTCTATAGAAATTTACTCCGTATCTAGTTTTCGGGTTCAATAATTAATATATTTTGTATAGGAACGTATCAAAATGATACGAACACTTGATATACTATATGATAGTCATTGTCCGTTACTAAGAAATGATTAAGATATCCCGACACAATTTGTATAATATAGTCATATTTTTCTAGGCCTCATACACATATTATCATATACATACTATCTAAATCATAATACATTTTTATAGGCAATGAAATAGGCCTATATAAGCTAGATGGAATGTCGGGTTGCATTATCTATATATAGTAATGTGTATAGTGATTTTAAATCCACTTTTCGGCCACATAATTTGGTATCAATATAATGCTTTCGGGTTTTCGGGTATTTATCAAGTCCTATAGGAAATGTGTTGATTAGTATACATTAAAGTGAATGTAGATACATGATGGGACAAAATAGATTGATTTATACGTATTGATTTTCTGGTTATTTATTATGTATAACTAATATTTTTACTATGCACAGGAATGCACAAAAATACATATCATAGACGACAACACTGAAGACACATTGGGTTCCTATATCATAAATACACAATATAAATATACATCCTTTCGACACACTGTCCCACTTTTTCAGGTCTATCCAAATTAAGTATCTTGAAACTAAGATACACAATTTGTATCTTAGTATATCATAATCTTCATATGATATAGGAACCCAATGCAACTCGAAAATCCACTTTTCGTTGTGGTATGCACAATCTAGGCCAATCTCCGTGACTCGGTTGATTTAGTAAACCCGATGTAACACCCCCAAATTTCCCACCCAAAAATAGTTTTAAATAATGATTTGTTCGAAAACATCAGTCTTGCAGCGGAAAATTCAAAGGGAAACAGGGGCGTTACCGCCACACTCGGTTCTCACATAACCGAGTGCACAGGCTATCCACCACCAACAAAATAAAATTTTCCATAATTAATTGTTCAACTACAATTCTTTAAAATTAAGTCTAAAATAAATTTCTCAATCACTTTAGTCTATGTGTTCTAGCGGAAGCTCTCGAAATCAACTTCAATATGATCCTCAATTCCTGCACAAATAAAGTACAGAAAGAAAAACACAAAGAAACAAAGATTAGCTGGAAATGCTAAGTAAGGCCCACCCAACCCTGTAAAATAATCATGTTTGATACATATATATCATTTTGTGAAAACATTTGGGAGGAAACCTTATAAAACACTTTATACAAACTTCTCATCACAAATCACATGTAAAACAATAATATTCCAAATATAGGTACTTATATTTAATCAAATCCAAAAGTATTACTTTTGAAATCCATAAATAATTTAATAACCTCAACCATCTCAAATTCAATCCAATCCAAAAAAAAACATAACACACTCAAATAATCCAATATAATATAATTCGATTCACCGCAATCAAGTCCAACCAAATAATCCAAATCACCTCAATTCCAATGAAATTAACCTCAAAGCCTCAAAACCAATTCACCTCAATATCAATGGAATCCAAGTCCAATTAAATCCAAACATAATCCAATCATTCAAACTCAATCAAATCCAATGGAAGCCGAACTCCTACCTTAAGTGTGCACACCCCCTAAAAGAGATTCCAAGCTCTCCGGGTAGTAAAAAGTCTGAGTATTCGGGATTTTTCTACCGACTACTACAATTAAGCTGGGATGCTCCGCTTTTGGGAGATCCCTGGTGGAATTAGACTTATAGTCATTACCACTCACCAAATCCACATTTCTCCGGGTACTCACAAAATTATAATTCAATCTCAAAGTTCAAGTATCATAACCTCAATCAAACTGATATGAAATCCGAATTCCACAAAATTATTCACAATGAAATTATTAACTCCAACTCATCATACTCAAATATACCATAAATAGTCCAAAATATAGGATATTTCATAAATAGCTCAAATCTCAATTCTCAATCCAATAACAATTCATATGTAAATTCAAATGCTCAAAATATCACCCAATATAAAATACTCAAATCTCAAATATATATAATTCACAATCACAATTGATAAGTAAAATCTCATTAACTCAAATGATCTCAAATAACTAGTCACAAATAAATTTATATGGGAAAAGCATGAAACTTGGTTGACATAGTACTTACCTCGAATCGTGATGAATCCTAACCGAAGCTTCTACCTCGATCTTCACCGAAATCACCTTCTAAAGAATATTAAAATTCTTTCATTAATAACTACTCTAGACCCTTACTAATATTTACTCGGTTATGGTTTAAATTCAACTCTCTCATGATTAATAACTTTTATTCACTTATTTGAATAATTAATTGGTCGATTTATAAGTCTCATTATTTTACTCCGTTCATTTTAGGATAACAAAACATTCTGTTTATACAATCAGATCATTTTTAATTTATATTCTTAAGATTTCAGATTTATTATTTACGTACTTAGTTAATCTCTATAGCTGAATTTATACTCTAATAATATCTCTTGGTCCAACACGTACTTTAGGCTTTTCGGACGTACATACAGCCAATCAGATCATTTCATTCTTAACATTTCACTCTAAGAACTATCCAACAACTAAGTGTGTTCAGACCAATCTAATAAATAACATACGTAGTAGTATGTAAAACGTAATAATAGTGTAATACGGAGCAGTGGCGGAACCAGAACTTTATTTGAGCCGGGGCTGAGAAACTCAACAAATGATCGGGTCACGGGTCAACCCCGATCCGACGGGTCAACCCGATCAATAAAAATCAGGTCCACTTTCATGTAAAATTTTATAAAAATAAACATATATTATTATATAAAAATTAAAAAAATTATTCTTCATTACAATAATAAAATAATCTTACTTAGTACATATTGTTATATACAGGTAATTAATAATTTTATTTGATATTTTCTGGTTTTAAAATATTCGAATATTTCACTATATTGTTGAATAAGAATACATAAGGATTTCTGAATATTTAATGTTTAAATATATATTCACACATTCAAATAATTAAAACTAAATAATTAAAATGATAAAAGTTTTGGCCTAAAGCGGTGAATTAATCACAATGTAAAATGTTACACGTAATTGCTAAACAACTAAATAATTAAAAAAAGCATCACTACACAATCTCTCAATTCTCAAAGCGGCAAAGCCTGAAACGCAACCTTCATAGCTACAAAATCGAAACAAACCCAAATCCAAATATATTGATTGCAACTTTGTCCTCAATATTACTAGCTACATAATACTTCGTATATTAATTGCAACTTCGAAAGAAACCCAAATCCAAATAATCGAAAATTGAATAACTAAAAGTCTATTAGTACAATAAATAATATGTAGCAGCAAGTTGAAGTTTTGAACAAATTAACAAAAAACATGTACTCCTGTAGGCTGTAACTTTGAAACGTATACCAGAGGCAATAGAGACGCAGTAGAGTAACAGACGGCCAAACGCTTCTCTTTCTCCTATCGGCAGACCTTACGCCCCTGTTTAGGATTTCCAATTTCAGCATTTAGGCAGTTGGGCCGCTTTGGCTTGATAACGTATTAACAGCACCAGCGACGTCGTTTCATTTCTTTTTAGTACTTATTCAAAACGGTGTCGTTTGGATTATGTTATACTCATCTGACTTTTGAAAGACTGAAATCGGCCATCTCCCAAAAGCAGCACAAAGGTCGCCGGAAACCACAAGGAGCAGGGAAGAAGAAGACCGGGCGCTGGGGAGATTATACATATATATACCCTAACATCTACGGCGAAGGGGTGGCGCCAGCACCGGCTCGCTCCCCCCTGGTTCCGCCACTGATACGGAGTGTATGAATAACATACGTACAGGAGCCGACGTCGTCTTCGTAAAACAGCTTTGGCGATGCAGGGGAAGATCGGCAGCACTCCCTTCGGCAACGGAAGCTAGTCCAGGCGGCTCACCCCTCCGGCAATAAACGGCAGGCCCTCAGGCGAGCAACGACATGGAACACCAAAACCAGTCCGGCGTGGAATACTGCAACTTGGCCGGCAGCGACTCCGGCGACTTCGTACTCTCTCCTCCGATGATACGTGGTGCTAGACATGGCTGACTTTTCTCTGGCAACTCCTCTAGGCTCAATTAGCAGGGCACAGAGTATAGTGCGGGTGTGTGAAGTTGTCTGATTATGGTTTCGCAGGTGTAGTATATATGTATATATAAATGTGTCTGTGCGTATATATATACGATAGTGTATGTGTGTGTGTGTATATATATATATATATATATATATACATATATATATATATACACGTACGTATGTATGTACATGTGTATACGCCGGTCGCCATAGCTCGTTATTATCCTCATGTTTCATGTTGATGTGGTACTCTAGCTTCCATACGTCAATTATCCGCAAGTGTGAGGAGTATCCACTCGTTCTTTTAACTTGGACATTATATTACTCCCTCCGTATCACATATATCTTGAGTTTTTTTCCTAATTAATGCTAATTAATTAATTATTTACGGAAATAATGCTGGAAAAAAAGTATTTACCAAAATACTGTTGGGCCTTAACCGTGGTCAGGGCAAAGTCGCCCAACCGTTGGGCGACTTATAAGTCGCCAAACGGTTTGGCGACTTATAAGTCGCCCAACGGTTGGGCGACTTTGCCCTGAAATATGGTTTCAAGCGAGCAGCTACTGCCAGCCACGCACGATCGTGCCTATTTCCTTAGGCACGATCGTGCCTATTACCTAAAACACCAAATCAGCTTGTTTTTCGCCCCGGTTCAATCCAGACCGATCTGTTTGCTACAAATAAGGTCTCATTTCTCCTTTTGAAGTGTTACAAACTAGATACAACACATGATATTCACCTACTCTCAACAACATAAAAAACACCTTATAAACAGCGCAAAAAAACTTTCA